CTGGTGTGGTGTGTGGTGGTGACTGGTGTGGTGTGTGGTGGTGACTGGTGTGGTGTGTGGTGGTGACTGGTGTGGTGTGTGGTGGTGACTGGTGTGGTGTGTGGTGGTGACTGGTGTGGTGTGTGGTGGTGACTGGTGTGGTGTGTGGTGGTGACTGGTGTGGTGTGTGGTGGTGACTGGTGTGGTGTGTGGTGGTGACTGGTGTGGTGTGTGGTGGTGACTGGTGTAGTGTGTGGTGGTGACTGGTGTGGTGTGTGGTGGTGACTGGTGTGGTGTGTGGTGGTGTGGTGTGGTGTGTGGTGGTGACTGGTGTGGTGTGTGGTGGTGACTGGTGTGGTGTGTGGTGGTGACTGGTGTGGTGTGTGGTGGTGACTGGTGTGGTGTGTGGTGGTGCCTGGTGTGGTGTGTGGTGGTGACTGGTGTGGTGTGTGGTGGTGACTGGTGTGGTGTGTGGTGGTGACTGGTGTGGTGTGTGGTGGTGACTGGTGTGGTGGTGACTGGTGTGGTGTGTGGTGGTGACTGGTGTGGTGTGTGGTGGTGACTGGTGTGGTGTGTGGTGGTGACTGGTGTGGTGTGTGGTGGTGACTGGTGTGGTGTGTGGTGAGGTGACTGGTGTGGTGTGTGGTGGTGACTGGTGTGGTGTGTGGTGGTGACTGGTGTGGTGTGTGGTGAGGTGACTGGTGTGGTGTGTGGTGAGGTGACTGGTGTGGTGTGTGGTGAGGTGACTGGTGTGGTGGTGACTGGTGTGGTGTGTGGTGAGGTGACTGGTGTGTGGTGAGGTGACTGGTGTGGTGTGTGGTGAGGTGACTGGTGTGGTGTGTGGTGGTGACTGGTGTGGTGTGTGGTGGTGACTGGTGTGGTGTGTGGTGGTGACTGGTGTGGTGTGTGGTGGTGACTGGTGTGGTGTGTGGTGGTGACTGGTGTGGTGTGTGGTGGTGACTGGTGTGGTGTGTGGTGGTGACTGGTGTGGTGTGTAGTGGCTATTGGTTATATTCCCTATATAATTAATATACACTGTACTAAGGTTATCTATAACTCCTATAACTCTGGGTATTAATATATATCGTGTTTAGGCAATAGTTATATTTACCCTTAATTGATATAAGCTGCAGCAAATTATATGTTTAAGTCACTATGACAAGTTATATGTGACCGTAGAGAATTCGGACAACCCAATAAATATTATATTTATGTTTATACTCTGTTTACAATGTTTATGCTTTGGCGTGGTGTCTAACTTTGTAACTGCTTGTTTAATTAAAAGTGTGTGTGTGTGTGTGTGTGTGTGTGTGTGTGTGTGTGTGTGTGTGTGTGTGTGTGTGTGTGTGTGTGTGTGTGTGTGTGTGTGTGTGTGTACTCACGTAGTTCTCCTTGCGGGGGTTAATCTCTGGCTCTTTGGTCCCGCCTCTCAACCGTCAATCAACTGGTGTACAGGTTCCTGAGCCTACTGGGCTCTATCATATCTACATTTGAAACTGTGTATGGAGTCAGCCTCCACCACATCACTGCCTAATGTATTCCACCTGTTAACTACTCTGACAATTAAAAAATTCTTTCTAATGCCCCTGTGGCTCATTTGGGTACTAAGTTTCCACCTGTGTCCCCTTGTTCGTGTTCCACCCGTGCTAAAGAGTTTGTCTTTGTCCACTTGTGCGAATTTCCAAGCAGGTATTTCCTTATTATAAAATGATTAAGTGGACAATAAAAGTGGACTGTATGTTTAATTTCTGTATCTGCCTGGTGTTACCACTTAAAAAAATTTTGGGAGGTAGATTTAATAATGCTAAATCTACCTTATAGTTAAATATTCATGAATTCATAAATCATAGTAATTTACAATTTTATGGAGTTAGTAAATTATCTAATTTTATAGAGTTAGACTACAATTATCACGGAATAAATTTTGAAGGCTTGGCTGTCGAGCTGGCTGGCAGGTGAACGTCTGGGGAACTTCTTAAGAGTTAGATTTATCGCCTGATGGTCGGTGGCGTCGGGCCCACGTGAACTGATGTGTTGAGGCGGCTCACTCCCAGTTATTCCCTCTCCGCTCTATGGAAAATATACAACACAACTCTTGCACCGTTAATATATTCCCCCAATTTATTTCAAATGAGCAGAATAACCTCCCATTTGAGCCTAAACTTACTCTGGATGTTGTCGAGCTCAGGACACGACGGAGGACAACGACCGGCTAATTCTATCTCGGGGGAAATATGGCCATACACATCCTTGAAAGAATCAATTTTAACCGACCGAACACCACTTCCCGTCTTGTGTGAAGCAGGCACCAACGTCTTGGAGCCGTAATCCGTCGGATGACTCAGATATTGGACGATATTAATCAGCTGGCTTCACCGCGGGGTCTGATTCAGCTCGTGCTGGTGTGTCCATGGGACGCTTCCTCCTCCTCCCTCCTCTCTTGGTGAAAGCGCGGGAAAATAAGTCACGCTATATAATTTAATCTTGTTCACTAACATGACGATATCAACGTCATTTTATGCTCTGATAATTTACATCAAATACCAGAGAACAATTTTCCATGGTTCATAACACTGGATCGAGGAGTTTGTTGTTCAACGCACATATAGGAGTGGTGCACACGTTATCTTGAGGTTATCTGGAGATAATTTCGGGGCTTTTTAGTGTCCCCGCGGCCCGGTCCTCGACCAGGCCTCCACCCCCAGGAAGCAGCCCGTGACAGCTGACTAACACCTAGGTACCTATTTTACTGCTAGGTAATAGGGACATAGGGTGAAAGAAACTGCCCATTGTTTCTCGCCGGCGCCCGGGATCGAACCCAGGACCACAGGATCACAAGTCCAGCGTGCTGTCCGCTCGGCCGACCGACTCCCTAAAGTCACGAGACGTGACTTTTAATCCCACCGTGAATCGACTGGTTCCTATTGTGGAAATTTCACCTTGGATGGATGTATACTTTATTCTCGTTAAATTCAGTTGATTTCCAATCGAATTACATGACAAATGAAAGCAGATTTTAGACTGGGGTTTAATTAGAATTAAATATAGAATCCGTCACCGTGAGGCGTGGCGGCTGAGGCAACAGCCCGTCGTGGGTACTAGGAAACTTTTGCCCTTCCCGTACTAGAATATGATGTTGTTAATAGAATTATTTTCTTAACACAAAACTTTTGTCTTGTTGGGTTAGGGGTTAGTATTTGGGGTGTCGGAAATTTCCGACAGCACCCTGTCAATTCCCCTGAAAATTTTGTAGGTAGTTATCATCACACACACACGTATGTGTGTGTGTGTGTGTGTGTGTGTGTGTGTGTGTGTGTGTGTGTGTGTGTGTGTGTGTGTGTGTGTGTGTAATTACCTAAGTGTAATTACCTAAGTGTAGTTACAGGATGAGAGCTACGCTCGTGGTGTCCCGTCTTCCCAGCACTCTTTGTCATATAACGCTTTGAAACTAGCAAATTGTGCGTGTACTCACCTATTTGTGCTTACAGGATCGAGCATTGACTCTTGGATCCCCTATGTGTGTGTGTGTGTGTGTGTGTGTGTGTGTGTGTGTGCGTGTGTGTGTGTGTGTGTGTGTGTGTGATGAGTGCATAATCAAGGTGTTGGACTGGTTTGTTATATAACATACTTATTATGATAGTGAACATCTACAAGTGTTCATTTAGTGCTGGTAAAGAGTATATAATTAAATAAACTAATTATATACTAATAAAATTAGTATATAATTAAGTTATTCTGAAGTGTGTACCACGAGAGGGTCGGAAGGGTTGTGGCACCCTTCACTAGGTGACCTCTGACCTCACTGCTCTGGCGGACACGACAGAGGCATCGTGTTTGACCTCCGAGGAGAATATGTAGACATATTGTGGATTAGTGTCTTTATACGTATATATATATATGTACATGTATGTATGAGAGTGTGTACATGTGTATACAACATTAATAATTTTGTAACTAGCGTCAAAAATTGTTATTTGCTGAGCTAAACGAACTAGAGGGTTCAGTTCCTGAACCGATTATGTGCCTCTGTAATCCTTTACACCACCGCCCACGGGATGGGTATGGGGTGCATAATAAAGAAATTGAATTGAAATTGAAAATTGGTGTCTTCATTAATATTATTATTATTATTAACTGTGTATATCGTGTTTTTAATAGGGATTTTGTGGGTTCAGGTGACCTTACATCTGTCCATAATTGACTGTCCCAATTGACAGACTTTTTGCCAAGCCATTTGGGACAAATGACCAATAGACTCAAAGTAAACTGGGATTTACTTACAACAGTCTGTCCCTCAAGGACTAGCCATTTCAAAGTCAGTCATCACTTAAGAAAAGTGAGTGTTCGGTGATTACGGACTTTGAAATTGCTAGTACTTGGGGGGGGGGAGACTTTGTTTTGAGTGAATCCTACTGACTTTAAGTTGCCAGATACTACATAATTTAACGTGGCGGAGTCTAGGGAGACTTGGATGTTCCTTAAGCGACTTCACAGTTGTGATAAAGTTCACATTAATTTACGATTAGAGCCACTTTAACTTAGTTACGATTACAGCCACTTTAACTTAGTTACGATTACAGCCACTTTAACTTAGTTACGATTACAGCCACTTTAACTTAGTTACGATTACAGCCACTTTAACTTAGTTACGATTACAGCCACTTTAACTTAGTTACGATTACAGCCACTTTAACTTAGTTACGATTACAGCCACTTTAACTTAGTTACGATTACAGCCACTTTAACTTAGTTACGATTACAGCCACTTTAACTTAGTTACGATTACAGCCACTTTAACTTAGTTACGATTACAGCCACTTTAACTTAGTTACGATTACAGCCACTTTAACTTAGTTACGATTACAGCCACTTTAGCTTAGACTTCATCCCACTCTAAGCACCGGAGCTCTAAGCCTGCAGATTTAGAGCTCCGGTAAACTCCTATTTAAACAAATCTAATTATTGTCATACCATTTCCTTGTTGGTTGTGTGTTGTAATGAACTTGTTGTTGTTGTTACAGTTGGAGTATGGGTCTGGCGGGCTCGGCACGCCGCTCTCGCCCACCGTGCGTCGCTCCGTCGACGAGACGTCCCTGTGGCGACGACGTACAGGGGCGTACGCCCCTCCGGGCGCCTTCAGACAGGCGTCGACGGAGGAGGTGCGGCGCCGGCGGGAGAGCCTAGCCGCCATGTCCCCCCACCACCTATCCGCCAGCTCTATCCACCATCCTGCAGGTGAGTCTTGGCCCCCCACCTACCCATTCTCTATCCTGCCCGACCACTTGCACCATCGGGTATCGAACCCTGACCCGGCAAGAAGCGAAGCCACTCGTTTAACAAGAAAGTCACGACACACAAGCGTAGGTGTGTCACCCCTGATGCAGGTGTGTTACCCCTGATGTAGGTGTGTCACCCCCTTGATGTAGGTGTGTCACCCCCTTGATGTAGGTGTGTCACCCCCTTGATGTAGGTGTGTTACCTCCTGATGTAGGTGTGTCACCCCCTGATGTAGGTGTGTCACCCCTGATGTAGGTGTCACCACCTTGATGTAGGTGTGTCACCCCCTTGATGTAGGTGTGTCACCCCCCTGATGTAGGTGTGTCACCCATGATGTAGGTGTGTCACCCATGATGTAGGTGTCACCTCCCTGATGTAGGTGTCACCTCCCTGATGTAGGTGTGTCACCCCCTGATGTTGGTGTGTCACCCCCCTGATGTAGGTGTCACCCCCTGATGTAGGTGTGTCACCCCTGATGTAGGTGTGTCACCCCTGATGTAGGTGTGTCACCCCTGATGTAGGTGTGTCACCCCCTGATGTAGGTGTGTCACCCCTGATGTAGGTGTGTCACCCCCTGATGTAGGTGTGTTACCTCCTGATGTAGGTGTGTCACCCCTGATGTAGGTGTGTCACCCCCCTGATGTAGGTGTGTCACCCCTGATGTAGGTGTGTCACCCCTGATGTAGGTGTGTCACCCCCCTGATGTAGGTGTGTCACCCCCCTGATGTAGGTGTGTCACCCCTGATGTAGGTGTGTCACCCCTGATGTAGGTGTGTCACCCCCTGATGTAGGTGTGTTACCTCCTGATGTAGGTGTGTCACCCCCTGATGTAGGTGTGTTACCTCCTGATGTAGGTGTGTCACCCTTGATGTAGGTGTGTCACCCCCCTGATGTAGGTGTGTCACCCCTGATGTAGGTGTGTCACCCCCTGATGTAGGTGTGTCACCCCCCTGATGTAGGTGTGTCACCCCCCCTGATGTAGGTGTGTCATCCCCCTGATGTAGGTGTGTCACCCCCCTGATGTAGGTGTGTCACCCCTGATGTAGGTGTGTCATCCCCCTGATGTAGGTGTGTCATCCCCCTGATGTAGGTGTGTCACCCCCCTGATGTAGGTGTGTCACCCCCCCCTGATGTAGGTGTGTCACCCTCTGATGTTGCTATGGCACTTCTAATCTCGATTTCAAAAAAAAAAATAGCGATTTCACAACCGAGGAATAAATTGTGTTAATTAAACAATAACAGCTGATTTAGAATGCTAGGCTCTATATCCTCGTTGTAACAAGGCACTCACGTCGTGGTTAGGTGGTTTGGCAGGCAGTAGTTGGGGCGTAGTTGTGTTGTAGGTCGCTGGCTATAAGTGGCACTGTGCCAGATTATCGCGTCCCTCAAGATAATGGCAGCAGGGTCGGGTCTACATGGGGGGGGGGGGGGAAGGGTGGGGGGGGGGATTATTGGACAGGAGGAATTATGGCACTGGTGGAATACCCAGGCACTCATCTAGGCACTTGTTCGCAGGTGCCTGCTCTCTCCCGTGCATTCACTGTGGATAGCTCAATCTCTCTCTCTCTCTCTCTCTCTCTCTCTCTCTCTCTCTCTCTCTCTCTCTCTCTCTCTCTCTCTCTCTCTCTCTCTCTCTCTCTCTCTCTCTCTCTCTCTCTCTCTCTCTCTCTCTCTCTCTCTCTCTCTCTCTCTCTCTCTCTCCAAGGCACTCACTGGCACTGCCTCAGACAGTGTGGTCAGCCAACACCTTCAACACAGGAACACAAAGTGGGCAGCGAACAACAGTGTTGGGGTTCAGTATTTTAACACTGACCTGATAACCGCCTCTCCTGACCTTGGTACTAATGCCCTTGACAAGAAAGGAAAAGGGGGGAGGGAAAGGAGTGAAAGAAAGGGATAGAGAGAAAAAGAAGAATAGAGAGGGATAGAGACAAAGGGAGCAGGATAGGGGACAGTCTGGACCCTTAAACACTGGGATGAACACACGAGTTGAAGGTGGATAGTCGACTTCTTGCCTGGATCTTACCTGTAGAGGGTTCTGGCATATGCCATACTAGGCGAGAATACGTATCAGGATGGGAGGAAGTATTATTATTTTTAGGTGCAAGTGCAAGTCTTGATAAGTTATATTTCTAAATCAAATGGTGTGTGGTTTAATGAAGACGCAACAAGGTGGCTTCGGGATTCGATCTGTAGCCTAATTACTGCCATGTAAAGATCTCAAGTGGCTCCATCAACAGTGCCAATCTTCACTGTGGTAAGGGTAGGGTTTTAATGAGTGCCTGTGTCCACTATGTGTTGATCAGTGCCAGTCTGTACTATGTGTTGATCAGTGTCAGTCTGTACTATGTGTTGATCAGTGCCAGTCTGTACTATGTGTTGATCAGTGCCAGTCTGTACTATGTGTTGATCAGTGCCAGTCTGTACTATGTGTTGATCAGTGCCAGTCTGTACTATGTGTTGATCAGTGCCAGTCTGTACTATGTGTTGTTGCTAGAATGACTTAAATATGTACGCTTGTCGGTCACTCAGGCTGGAAGTTCCCGCAAGGTCGAACCAGTGACCTTGCCCTAAATGCCGCCCACAACAGCTGCGTAGCTCCCAGGCACTTTTTAGATGGGCTCGCATTTACTGTTTGGTGAATAGAGGTACTAGGTGAAAGGAAACGTGCCAATCCATTTCTGTCCTGCCCGGGGTTCAAACTCGGTATCCCCGATTGTGAGTCCAGAACTTTTTACTACAGGACCCAGTGTGTGGGTGTGTGTGTTTGTGTGTGTGAGTATGTGTGTGTGTGTGTGTGTGTGTATGTGTGTGTGTGTGTGTGTGTGTGTATGTGTGTGTGTGAGTGCGTGCGTGTTTGTGTGTGTGAGTAAGATCATGGCACGAGAATTTCTCAAGCAGAGTGCCAAGGTTTGGCACTCGTCAGGGCCCCGGGGCCAATGGCACCTGCGCCTCTCGCCTTCCCTATTTGCGTTGTTCCCATCCCTTATGTTACGTATATATATATATATATATATATATATATATATATATATATATATATATATATTAGATTTTCATGACGTATATTTCAGTTTGTATATGTGTCCCCTCGTGGTGGTTACCCCTCCTGTGTGTCCCCTCGTGGTGGTTACCCCTCCTGTGTGTCCCCTCGTGGTGGTTACCCCTCCTGTGTGTCCCCTCGTGTGGTCACCCCTCCTGTGTGTCCCCTTGTGTTGGTCACCCCTCCTGTGTGTCCCCTCGTGTGGTCACCCCTCCTGTGTGTCCCCTTGTGTTGGTCACCCCTCCTGTGTGTCCCCTCGTGTGGTCACCCCTCCTGTGTGTCCCCTTGTGTTGGTCACCCCTCCTGTGTGTCCTCTCGTGGTGGTCACCCCTCCTGTGTGTCCCCTCGTGGTGGTTACCCCTCCTGTGTGTCCCCTCGTGGTGGTCACCCCTCCTGTGTGTCCTCTCGTGTGGTCACCCCTCCTGTGTGTCCCCTCGTGTGGTCACCCCTATTATAGTACTGTGGGTTGGTTGGTGTTGTCGTCGTTGATCCTTCTCTATGGACAACCCAACCCACAACTCGGCAGAGTGCTTATACTAGGAGATCACCCTTGGCGCTTCTGGCTCTTGGAGAGGGGCTCAGCGTCACACGTTTAGGGGATGCGGCTCCAACACTTAGCCTCGTTGTCACGTGCACACACCCACTCGAGCCGCTGTGACTCCCCACTCTCTCCTTATGAGATATGATCTCCTCAATCCCCTATGACTTACTAGTATTACCTCTTACCCTGTCCACAGCAGTGGTTCTTGGTTCTTTCTCTTTCTCTCTCCTTCTTCACTACTTCCTGGGAAGCCTCACTAGGACAGGGGCAAACACCAGCAAATTGTGACACATTTACTGAACAAAGCACATACACAATACATACACACATATAATAATAATGAATCCTATACTCTATAATATCACAATCAGGTTGCACTCCAACACCTTCAGAACTCTATTATCAGCTTATCAAGTGGTATCCTATCTCCTGGTTCACCACCTGATACTATTAACCTCCTCAAGTTGGTCAAGCCTACATACACTGTTGCACTATCAGCAAGATAATGTATATATAGAAAACCAGCATTTGAATGCAATAACATATATCAGTATAAATGTTCATTGATACACAACGATGATTAATCGATCACTGTCAGTCCTCGAGCACATATATCTGTAGGTAATCAAGCCTACGACTGCAACTCTAAGCTTCAGAATAAATCACTCCTTGACATAAGAATGCAAACATTCACTCACCTCTCACTGCGTCTTGCACGCTAATGACAACCAAACACTATCAACTCCCTATAAGTAATCCACCAGAACTTCCCCTTCCACCTCTGGAAGTTCACAACCCTAATATCCTTAGGCTCTTCCGGGCTTCACTACCAGGATCCTCTGCAGCTCCTCCAGGCTGCTATCATGAAGTTTCCTTGAGTAACTACGGTGCTTCACCCTTCTGCTAGGTTCCTCCACAGCTCTCTTGGCTGCTACACCATGAAATTTCCCCGAGCAACTGTGGTACTTCTCCACCTCTACAGAAGCACGTGACACTCCCCTTCACTGCTGCTTCTCCTCACAGCTCGAGGTCCTCTGCTCCACTACCTTGGAGTCTCATCAGCTACTTCATCTGCTGGCTTCGAAGTTCTCAGCAACTTCTTCCCCAAAAGACAAACCTGCAACCCATCGACGTTCCAATAAAATGTTCCCCTTTAACACATAAACAAAAATAACCACACAATATGCTTGCCTCAAACCTCTATCTGTTCTCTACATACAGTGAGAGTGGACTCCCCCGTTTTGGGCGGGTCCATACTCCACCTCGCCTGGCGGCGGTCCTCACTCACTGGGAGGGTCTTCCTCCATCCGGAGCCAGGCTCCCTCAGTCGTCCGCCAGCGCTCAGAGGGGGCGCACGTCGCTCCGTGTTCCTCC